ACTCTGATCTTACAAATTCCTTTGAAGGCCAATTATGACAGGGACAAATGGATCTGTGTTTAGTATAAAAACGATGGGCATGTGGTAACCGAGCTACCCGACTCGGGTCGATCTCGAAGGAAGGCTATTCGGAGTTTTGTCTACTAGATGATCGTCCAAAATCACAAAAAGGGAAAATAAAGTCCTAAACATTCTAAGCAATTGATTTGGAAGTTGATTAACACTAACGAGCACTTAACAACGAGCAATTAATTAAAAGCAAGATCAAAAGACGAGCAATTAGCTAACTAGATCACCGGAGTCTCATTTCATAACCATAACGGGATGATAATCAATCGACATACGGAATAAACGAGCTACGAGCATTAGATTGCTAATCCTAGTCGTCTAACCGAGATCAACAAGCAATTAACGGCTCTATCTACTCAAGCAACGCAATCAAGCATAAGCATTTCCTCCATCATCAATCAAATCCAAATTTACCCTAATAAGCATTATAAGTAAAAACGGAGCAAAAACCGAAGTAAAGAGCTTTAAAACTAAATACTCATTCTTCCATTGCGTAGACGATGAAAAACGGAGTCAAAAGCTCGAAACTTGAACGAAACCGAAGTCGCCGGAAAATCTCCCGGAAAATGACATAAGCTCCTAATCTAGAGAGCAAAATAAAATAAAAGCTGATTTCCCAAAATGGAAAAATGAAAAATGAAAGTTGGATCCCCAAAATGCAAAGGACAAAATGTATTTATACTCCAGCCCAAACACACACTAGAAAAACGCACATTAAGTAAAACACTCCCGACCACGCTATCAATTTCGCGAGCACGCGAGCACTAATCTGCACAGGTGCACGGGCAAGTGAGGCTCTCGACCACGCGGATCTCTCGGCGAACTCGCGAGCGTGGACTAGGCAGGGGTCGCATGGGGCTCTCGATGGCGCAGCTACTTCCGCTAGCACGCGGGCAGGCGGACGTCGTGCTCTCGACCACGCGGAAAGAGCCGCGAGCGCGCGAGTGGCTGCTGCGCTGGACAATGCCGCACTCTCGATAGCGCGGAAAATGGGGCGAGCTCGCGGGCGTGTACGTGCGGGCGTATGCGGAGCTCTCGACCTCGCTGGGACTTCCGCGTGCACGCGAGCGTGCGATGTTGAGCGCTGGGACGCGGGGTGAGGTGCGAGCTCGCGAGTGGTGTGATGAACGTGCGAGGCTGCGGCATATGTGATGGGCGTGCGGGGCTGCAGCGTGTGCGGCTCGACTAAGGGCTCGACATACTTGACCAAGAATTGTTCGCACGAATGACTCGAAAATGGTCGTCTCTTGGGATTCGTTATGACTCATCTTTAACCCTCGGGAAAATCCTGAAAATATATCAAAAGCACAGACAAGTACGCCAAAATATAAAATAAAACGAAAGACACAAAAACACTCAGAAAACGACAAAATGGACCGGATGACACTAAAACGAACCTAAAAATGACTCGATAACACACATAAACACATGAAAAATAAGCACAAAAACATAACAAACAATCTGGCATTGGAGTAAGGATAGCAAGTTCTCAGTAAGAGATGTCTATAACTGCATATTACAGAAGCAATCCTTGACTCAACACTTCAGTGATGGGAATTGCTCTAAACCTGATGGAATCTCTCAGATGTGGAAGGCCACCTGGAAATTAAATGTTCATGCCAAGATAAAAAAACTTTTTGTGGAGGGCTTGGTTTAACTTCATAGGAGCAAAAACAAATTTGATGAAGAAAGGGATGGAAGTGGGGAGCATCTGTGAGACTTGTGGCTTGGAGGAAGAAGACTTAAACCATATTTTCTTTAACTGCGCTAGGGCTGTCAGATGCTGGAAGTTATGTGGAGTAGAATGGGAGGGGCTGAGGAATGGACATGGAGACTTCAGAAAGTGGTGGCTAGAGATTACTACATGTAGCAGACTGAAATGCATTGAAGAGAGGGTGTCCCTATCTGCCTATTTACTTTGGGGATTATGGAAAGACAGAAATGCTTGGTTGTTCTCCAAAGAACAACTATCTGATAGAGCATTGGTGAAAAAGGCAATAAGGAACTGGAATGAATTTCAATCTGCTAACTTGAGGAAAAAGGATGTTGTTAGTGTTAGAGTGGTGAAGATGACTAGGGAATGTGGAGAGGAGGACCAGAGGAATCAACCTGAGATGGGAGTAGGACAACTATCTATGGCTATCAGTACTCATATCTCAGGGCAAAATAATGTGGGGTTTGGTTGTGTGCTGAGGAAACAAGAGCAGATTGTCAAAACATGGGTTAAAGCTGAGCAGGTTATGGGAAATGCTGAAGATATATACTTACTGGGAATTAAATAGGGCCTGGAGGTTGTCAAAGTTGGGGGATGGACTAGAAGTGAATGTATGGTGAAGTGCAAAGATTGCTGCAAAAATTAGTTTCAGGCACGGGCTTCTCCCCTACTTCCATGTCAATTTTTCAGGATATTTGTAATGTTATTGATGATGAGCATTTCCTGGGTTTTATGTTTGGTAGTAGACTTTGTAGCTTTAGTGAAAAACTTGCTTTTGAAGTTGCTAGGGGTTACTTGTTTGAATCTGCTCCGACTGCGGAGTAGATTGATGTGACCAGTTGGTTGTACGATGTGTACATGTTTGCTTTCGAGATTTTATGAAATTTGATTTATCGTTTCGAAAAAAACTAAAAAATAGACCACCTAGTGAATCAAATAAGAGCTTTTGAATTTCGTATATTTCTTTTTTTTAAAAAAAAAATTGTATTAAATATGTAGATAGCTCATGTCATGTGGTGTCTATTATATACATTAGACAGTATTATATATTTGATGTTTCTAAAATTATTTTAGTTAAAAATAACAAAAATTAAACTAGCATTGTACATGATTAGAATTAACATTGTCACATTTTGTAAACTAATGGTTATTCTTATTTGAACCAATCTTATATATATGTGGGTGTAACAAAGTTATTTCTTAAGTTGATTTTTTTTAAGTATAATTTCTTAAAAATATATGTGTAAACATTAAAATTATTATTTGTTTTACTAATTTCTCTAATTTAAGGTTCATTAATTTGTCGAACTCAAACGAGTAGTTATAGTGACAATCAATTTTATTTATTTATTAATCAGGAGTAATACTCATTGTTTTTATGTTTATTTTATTATATATGAGATGATTGTAGAATAAAAAGTTAATAAAAAAAAAATAGTAGGATGATTGATAATAAAGTTAATAATAATAAAGTTGTGGTATATTTTTCTATAAATACCCGTCCAACCTCTCTTATCTCTACCTACTCCAAACTTCTCCGCTCTTTCAAAAAAAAA